ACGGATCCTTCGAAATTAAGTATCCCAGGAATTTCTGTCTTTTTTATGCATTCAAACTTCTTTACAATAATATAATGTACTATGATAAATCAGGGTAATGGAATAATTCGTAATACAAGGTTGCCGGGTTACAGACTGGTAGGAAAAGGGGTGGAGGGAGACTGTTAAGGGCGGGTTCTTAACCTTTTAGGTCCCAAGAGTGACCAACATTAATTTTCTCCTAACAACATCAGTAGATCAACAAGAGTAAAGGTTATGAGAATTAATAAATTGATTACCAAAGGGAGAACGTTTTCATCTTAACTATTCTAAAAGAAATGTATGGAGATCAGTCTGGAGAATTTGTATGTGGATCTTGGGGCTTAAAGGGTAAATTAAACAGTGTAACACTTTAGAACCTGTGGAGTTGTAAGCAAGACAAGCTTTAATTTTAGATGCACACTTTGTTATGTATTTCCTTGAATTTCTCAAATTTACAGGTATTTTTACAATCACACCAAGCCACACAGTCCAAATAGCTGCCGTAATGTCTTGGTTTAAGCATGTGACAATGTCACAATTTTGTCATACATCAATACTCTTTAATTCTAAAACTGATTATTCAAATTTGTAGTTGATGTTTACAGAACAGCACTACATCAGTCATCATTTAATAATATCAATAAAACAAATTTTCTTCTTCTCTTTAAGCAACAGGTACTTTGACGTGCTAAAAGTACATCAATGGTAAGTTGTGTTAGAGTCTTCAGTGTCTAAACAAAAGTCAATATTAACCATACTATTCATGACTACATGTACACGAGCAAAGGAAGACCACTGTTACTCATTACATTTACATATAATACAAACAACAATTATCAGTGTTTTTTTACACATTTAATAATTAACTGTGGGGAATGGTTCACCAAACACTGACAAACACAAAATAATATGAAGAACAATTTACAACGTTACATGTTACACGAAAATTGACACAACCTGAGATCCTTAGCTCTTTCAAACTTCACTAGCCTGTGAACAGGCCTTTGGTCGAGTGGGGAACTGTTTTTTTCCCCAAACAGAGAGCCTGTTCACAGGCTAAAACTTCACCTGTTCCAGGGGTTAAGATTGTGGGGATGACACAACGGATCCTTCGAAATTAAGTATCCCAGGAATTTCTGTCTTTTTTATGCATTCAAACTTCTTTACAATAATATAATGTACTATGATAAATCAGGGTAATGGAATAATTCGTAATACAAGGTTGCCGGGTTATAGACTGGTAGGAAAAGGGGTGGAGGGAGACTGTTAAGGGCGGGTTCTTAACCTTTTAGGTCCCAAGAGTGACCAACATTAATTTTCTCCAAACAACATCAGTAGATCAACAAGAGTAACTTAGGTTATGAGAATTAATAAATTGATTACCAAAGGGAGAACGTTTTCATCTTGAACCAAATTCTCTCAACTATTCTTAAAAGAAATGTATGGAGATCAGTCTGGAGAATTTGTATGTGGATATTGGGGCTTAAAGGGTTAATTAAACAGTGTAACACTTTAGAACCTGTGGAGTTGTAAGCAAGACAAGCTTTAATTTTAAATGCACACTTTGTTATGTATTTCCTTGAATTTTTCAAAGTTACAGGTATTCTTACAATCACATCAAGCCACACAGTCGAAATAGCTGCCATAATGTCTTGGTTTAAGCATGTGACAATGTCACAATTTTGTCATACATCAATATTCTTTAATTCTAAAACTGATGATTCAAATTTGTAGTTGATGTTTACAGAACAGCACTACATCAGTCATGATTTAATAATATCAATAAAACAAATTTTCTTCTTCTCTTTTAGCAACAGGTACTTTGACGTGCTAAAATTACATCATGGGCAAGTTGTGTTAGAGTCTTCAGTGTCTAACCAAAAGTCAATATTAACCATACTATTCATGACTACATGTACATGAGCAAAGGAAGACCACTGTTACTCAATACATTTACATGTAATACAAACAACAATTACCAGTGTTTATTTAACATTTAATAATTAACTGTGGGGAATAGTTCACCAAACACTGACAAAGACAAAATATTAAGAACAATAATTACAACAACTTTACGTGTTACACGAAAATTCACACAACCTGAGATCCTTAGCTCTTTCAAACTTCGCTAGCCTGTGAACAGGCCTTTGGTCGAGTGGGGAACTGTTTTTTTCCCCAAACAGAGAGCCTGTTCACAGGCTAAAACTTCACCTGTTCCAGGGGTTAAGATTGTGGGGATGACACAAAGAGATGTAAGCAGGAAAACAGTGGGGGTGGGATAGGGGTGTGGCTGCAACAGGCTATTTCAGAATGAGAAAGTTTGAGTTCTAATTTTTTCAGAGTTGTTTTTGTCTCTGAAGAGCCATCATGTGTCATTCAATCGTCATTCAAGTATCCATGACCACTCCGGACCGCACAGTTTATGGTCAGTATTTTGCAAGTTCTTTGTCTAACTCATCCAGATCAGCAAGAGCTTGTTCTTCTTCTTGTTGGTTTTGTTTTTGTTCCAGCTCTCTTTGCAAAGCTTGCCTGTACTCCTCATGTCTCATAACAACTTGTTCAACCTCTTTCTTGTATAATCTCTTCAACATTGCCTGCCAACAATCCAGCTCAGCATATCGAAACAAATCCCACTAAAACAGAAATAAGAAAACTTAGGAGATGCTATTCTATTAAAACTTTACTTTTCATTGGGCTACAGTGTACAAGCATAGCCACGCAGATGTTCAGACTTCAGGAGCGTCAAAAACACTATTAGCCTAAGACCATACTGGAAACTTTAAAACTCTGAACCTATGATTAGCTCAAAAGCTAAGCTCCTCTGACCACCGTACACTTCTATCCAAGCCATTAATTTTCTTTTTTCCTTCTTCTTCTTCTTTATTAGTGTATTCCTACCTTACTATATATAATGTAAATATTTTATAAAAGTGTGAATAAAATTGAATTGAATTGAATTATGAAATCCAGGATCTTTGATTCCTTGTCACCTGTAAGCAAAAGTAAATCACCAGGGGCCATCAGGCAATTCTAGAGCACAAGCGGCCCAGGCACCGACTGCTGTTCTAAGTAGACATCATCTCCCCTAACAAGCTAAGAAGTGTGAGTATGTTACAGTGAGAGACTTACCTTCAGGAAACCATCATAGTCGGGAGATGCTTTGGCATAAACTTGCAGCCACTCGGGAATTTCTGAAGAAAGCAAATAAATCAATTGAAATTAATGTATTACTGGTAAGCCTTAATAAATATACCAGATGATATTTAAGATGTTCTTTTAATACTGATTCTTTTGCAATACCAAATGGATAATTGTTAAAAAGAAACAAGACAAGTGGGACCTTCTGAAACTATTGTAATTCTAATTCTCATCATATAATCTGCAAAGGGTATATTCCATCATGGCAGACTATTATGTCAACATTAAAGAGAAAGTGAGAATAACAAGTTTAGATGAAAAAAAAAATGCCCATGCATCACACCGTACATTGTACACTTCCATTCAGTCAATCTGCAGAATTGCACATGTGAAATGACCACAAATTAAGTTTTCCTTGCATTGGAATGGCAATTAAGGTAAGAAATTACTTTTTTACAATGTATTCAGCTCCAAGACAATTTGCCAATGGAAGAAAAGGACAAGTTGGGAATTTGTGAAGTAACTCTTTCAGTAACACCAGCCTCTCTTAACCCCCAGTCACCCCACCCCCACCACACCCCCACCTCCTCCAAACTGCCTAGAATACACAGTCAGCTCCTGATTGGCTTGGCAGGGGATTAATGGTAACCATACCTTCACTGATATAAGGATTAGCAGGGACCAGGGGATTCTGTGCTGGGATGGCTTGAGATTCTTGCCTTATACTCTCTGACCCTCTCATATCCTGCTGATGCTGTTGCTGAATAAACTGTGTTTTGGCTGGATGGTCATACTGAGCCATTTTTGTGTTATGACTGTATAGAAATAACAATCAAATTATGCATTAGAGCAAAACTAATAAAAAACTATTGCTGTCAAACTTCTCTTTTTAGAACATCTATGGGGCCTAAGCAAAATGCAGAATTTTCATGAGATGAACCGAACTCTAATTTGGGTCGACTTAAATTAAGTTAAGAACATCTAAGTTGGGTCAGACATCAAACTTAGGCTGCGTCAAACCAATCAACTGAATCAGATCAAAAAGCAATTTTAATAAATTTTCTTCTGAACATGGCTAAATATACAATATAATACAAATTTTTGGTCTATCAGTTTAGTTCGTCGCATGTGAAGATCGACGTTTTTTCTCGAGATGAAATTCAGACGTAATGCGTCTGAAGCAGATGGATAGATGGTGTTGGGTGATCCAAACTCATTCAGACAAACTTAACTGAGCTAGACATCGAACTTTCCATGAACTGAAGTCTCTAAGTTTGGTTTGTCTCATAAAAAGTTCATGTTTGACGTTTGGCCTGGGCCTAATACACTTAGCTCTAACTGTATAGACACATTCTGTGTCAAGAATAGAGCATTATTTTTGAAACAGATTGAAATAATTATACTGACACCAAAGTACTTTCTTGCTTTGAGAGTAGAGCTAATAAAAAAATTTTTTAACAGAACATTAAAACTCACTTGACATAGTAAACTCCAAAATTCGGAGATTCAATTTTCTCCCAACCGTCTGGCAAACCTGACACAAAAAAATGAAAAATAAGTTGACTGGCTGTTCTTTTAGCTAAATGATAAATTAGACAGTAATAAAAAAAACACAACAAAGACATCAGAACACAGCTCCATGATCAGCCTCACTACAAGCTAAAATCTGTAGCTAGCATCATGCAACTCAAATGGAATGAGTGTAGCCAATAATTATATCGCTCAGGCCAAATTATCTTATCAGCCTACAAGCTGACTCTGACAGTGCATGGTCTTTCAACCGAGGATACCATTTTAACTTTTGAATCTCCTGGGTTTGAGAACAGCTGGTTACCCCAAAAACTCAAACGCCAGATGGTGGAAATGAAAATACACTCGATCATAATAAATATCTTCTGAGTACTGTACATACGTTCATCACAAGATATTCTTATTTTAATCTTCTGTACCAGTTTAGGACAACATAAAGTTAATGTAGGTTGCACCTGTTGAACAGCGGTAAGGAGAAAGCTTCAATTTTTAAAGTTTTCATTTCAGAATTTCTGGAATCAAAACGACTTCCTCTGTGACAAGGCTGAACTGAAGTGCAGAAGTAGAATTCCTGCCGGTTATTCTGAAGGGTTTGTCATGAAAATGGAAATTCCCAAGGCAAGGGGGCATTAAAATATGGTTCAAGCCGTCCATGGTATGGTATGGATATTTTCTGGAATTGCCCATTAGATCCTGGACTACACTTATAAAAACTGTAGGAGGCAACCTGTAACTCTTAGAAATAAGACTGTACCTGCTTTCTCTAGTGGATGGCACCAATCAGTTGTTTCTGTGTTGTGACTGAAAGAGAATAGAAAATAATAATATCACATCAAAAAATAAATAAACAAGCTAAATGATACTAAAATAACACATAAAATAAATAAGCTCTTGCCGTAAGTAATATAATACCCTATTTACCATTATTACATTCAGGTCTGAAATCAGGAACATTACAATATTATTTCATTAAGAATACATGTGGGAATTTACAATGGTCAGTGATTTGGTTCAATAGTTCACTGTATATTTAACTGTCAGAATGGGTAACCTCAGCATCTTCAGAAATTACATTTAGCAAGACACAAAATGGAAATTATGCAATAGAACTGTTACTGAAAACTCAAGCTAATCTTAAATACAACCTGCCAAGTTCCCACCATTTTGGTCGCCAGGGTGCCTAAAATTTTTGAGCTGGCGACTTGATTTGTAAAAAAGTCTCCCTAAACCAAAAGAGTTGGTCGCCAAATGGCAACCTACAACCCCGGACAAAACTGTTGAGACAATTCCATCTATTTTCTAACTTTTGCGCCCTACTCCCGTCTCCCCTAAACACAAAAAGTAAACCCCCTCCCCACCCCCTATTCAAAGTTGCCATGGTCTAAAAACCAACGTGTATAATTGCCATGCTATCCTAAACAACTTTGGATAAGGGGAGGGGGAAAATCGGGCATTCATTTAGCGGAGGTTTCAGTTTTTGCCGGGATGACAGGAAAAAATAGGCATTTTTGCGATTTGTCTCAACAGGTTTTGTCCGGGGTTGTAGCAAAAAAATTTAACTTGGAGGGTTGTTATATACTTAAAGCTCAGTAGAGCATCAGTTTAAGCTTGTCATGGCTAGATAAGGGACTAGGTACTACTACAATATACATGTAAATGATCAGTGGTAAAGATCTGGTACTAGTTTGTTGCTTTCTCATTGCCTTGTTAAATTTTTCTCTCATTACTTTCTTTGAAACAGAGAATTTGCTTTATCAAACTTATGTTATGAAATAGATGGACTCCTGTCTACCAAGAACTTCTCTCTCTAACTCAACTGCCTCAGACACAGTCACTGTTTGGAGGGATCACATGCTAATGAGGTGTTCCCCTTTAAAAAGAGTTAGCGACAATAACAATAATATAAAGGTGGGGACAAGCTTTACTGAGAGAGGTATCCTCTGACAGAGAAAGACTCTATAAACATATTACGACAAAAAGAATTCACTTAAAACTTACTCAACATAATATTTCCGCCCATCTGGAGTCCATGCAACTTCAAAGCCAGGAGGAAGGGAGAGATCTAACTGGTGAAGCTGGCTGCCATTAAAAACTAAATTCTTCTTTTCATCCATGTTGCCAGGAGGAAAAAATCTCTTAGAAAATGAACCTTCTTGTTGCATTCCAGGATAAGAAGCTTGTGGTTTTGACATGAATTGAGCCTGTGACATAAAGGGTGACTGGTTTCCTCCTGAAATAGGAGGCGAAGGACTGTCCTTATAACTTAACATGTCACTTCTAGTTTCACTGAATAAGTTGTTCGTAGATGTGGCTTGATTTGTGATGAATCCTAATTGGAGTGATCCAGCCTCAGAAATGAATGGCTCACCATAAGATGTGTTGTAACTAAAAGAGTCTTGTGCACTTGAAAACGGCTTGGAATGTCCATAGCCATTATAATATTCTGAAACACTGTTGGGGGCATGCTGCACATAGCGATAACCATTAGTATTTGGAATAAATGACTCACTCACTGCCTTCTTGGGTAAATTTTGATGGAATGCTCCATTAGGTAGTCTACTATCCAGAGAAAATCTATCACTTGAATGCACATATGAGGGAGGATGTCTAGAATGTTTCTCAAGATTGTAATATGAACTATAATCATTTCCAGTGTTCCCATGTTGGCCATAAAAACTTGCTATGTCGATACTGTCCACAGGCTCTCTGTATGGTGGCGGATGCCGATATTTATGCAATGGGCTTGATATATTTTGTTCTATTTGTTCAGGGTATGGAGGAGGGTGACGATAACCCATTTTCTGGACTTCTGGAGAAGCATGGTGAATAACACAAGACTGGCATGATGATTCTGCATTAAGATGAATTCTTTGAACATTTTCTGAAAGGTCATTAACATTACAGTTTCTATTACTGTCATAACTTGTCTGTGAGACTTGATCGCTTGTGTCCACTGGTTCAAGACTTACTGACCCAGTATTGTGCACTCTGTTTGGATTGTGTTCCTGAGTAACCATCAATATCCCAGCATTTTCCGTAGCACAGTCTGGTGAATAGGACTCTGAAAAGTCCACTTCTGAAAGTGTATTGATACAAGGTGTGGAGATGCATCTCTTCAAACGTTCTTGGAAAAAAAAGAAAGAATAAAAGTATCAGTGCCAGCGGTAAAAAAAATTGATTATAAAGACAGATCTCTCAGAAGGAGCCAAACCATTGGAAAAAATAGTAATCATAATAATAATTATCATAATAATTATCATTGATCTATGCTGCTGTTCATGAAAGGGGTGTAAAAAAGAATGTCTAACTGAGAAGCAATTATGAGAAGCAGAGACCTAAATATATCTTTAAGTTAAAAACCAAGCAAAGGCCGTCAAGGCCAAGATGCCAATATCAGGTCACTCCACCGAGACAAACATGAAATACAATGCTATGCAAGTAATTCGAAGACTGTATAAATCGTTTTAAAAAATTTCAGAGCTGACAGACGTTTATACATTAGGAGATTAAAGTTTCTCGAAGACCGTAAACAGTACACATAGATTAGTTCGTTACCATTCATAGTTTTTGGGAATATAACAAATTTCGTTATATATCAGCATTCTACACAACCTAACATACTTTCTTCTCAATATAATCAATAAGTTCATTAACATTTTCTTGAAACAACAATTTGAAGTATGTTATACACTTGAACTTGAATTGACCATAAGCTTATCTTGTTGCCTCGCGGCAGTTTACTTTGCAATAGAATATACGGTAAACTCTTATATTAAACCTCATGACTGTGGACAAATCACGCGAAACATGAACTCAATAAAGGGAACGATTTACGGCGATCCTGGTAAAATTAACAGCGCCTACTTATCAAAGCCAAAGAAGAAGGCTCGCAAGCAAATATTTCCGGATTAAATTGACAAAGCAAGAATCTAGTTGCGCACCTTCCAAAATCTCGGTCGTGTTTTCCCGCTTTCTGTACTTTCCTTGAAGGCATTCCTTCAGTCCTTTTCCTTTCTTCTTTAAGAAGTACTTTGACAAAAAAGGCATTCTCATCCTTACACGTCGAAGTCAATACAAATGCTATGTATAAAATGCATCCATCCAATATATGCCTTCAGAGTTCGTGATATGTCTGAAATATTGCAAACATTCAATAGAGAGAAACCTGGCGCCGAATTTATTGCGATTATTCATCGACTAAGAATGTTCGGAATTATCGAGCAACTGTCGGAAATAATCGTGTTTCCGAAAAATCTCGAAGAATTATCGAGCGACACTAAAACTGTTGCTATGGTCACACAAACCTGGTGCAGATGGCGGTCGAGTGAGTTGAAACCAAGAAGCCTAAGAATTTCACTGCTAAGATTCCTATTATAAATCGCAAGATACCATGGAGAATACTAGTGAATCTGTAAGCAATGATTTAGACGGCGATTTTCAAAATGCGAAGGCGTTTCTCCTGAAAACAAGTCTACATTCGAACCTTAATGTGTAAGTACGAATTAAGCTTATAAGTCAGCGTCAACTGTCCTCTAGTTCACTCAGAAGATTGCAGTTAGTTAGTAGTTAGGTGTCGAGGTTCTAAGTTGTGTTCTGCTTATTTTCCTTGTAGTTATGACCATCTTGCAAGTGTTATAAGAAAAGTCTTAGAAGAGAAACCCGTGAATGTAGCAGGCAAGCATGTTTTGGATTTCAACTTTTTAAAAGAGAATGGTCCTGTTTGAATTTCTCATTAAGGTTAATGTCAATTTAATTTGTCGTTAAAATGTAGATGCATTAGAAGATCTTGTACGAGATGAGAAGAGAGCTAAATTCTGCCCTACGTTTGACACTATCCAGGTAAATGCATCAGTGTGCAATGATTATACATTTGTGTTTCAGCTGTTAAAACAGGCTGTACAGTACAAGAACAAGAACTCTTAGAGTTTATAATACCTTTCTTTGTGAAGAAAGAGAAAATCTGCTGGGAGAATTTGGACGTGACTGCTATTTGCACCAGCCCTACCCATCCTATAGGTATTGGCAGATCTCTAACGAACAAATTCTTTTGTTTTTCTTCAAGAACAAAGAAGATGAGTCCACAGAAGTATTATTGGCAAGATCCCAGCTAACTCTCTTTGAGGTATA